GTTTAAAATTTCTAGCATAGAAGTGCGTGTACTCCTGGGGGCTTGCATATTAAAATTTTTCACTTTGCTGTACTAAACTCACTAAATGTGAACGTTGTTACAGTAGCAGGAATTCTAAAATGAATTACACCAACAGTGCATATTTCACAATCAGAGCCGGGAGGAAAGAGTGGATACTATCAGATTTGGAGTCGCACACGCCTGAGGCCGGGTCCCTTCTCCAACATGTGCAAGTCCGGTGGTCACAGGTGAAGTATTTAAACTTTTGAATCTATGTCCACACATATCACATGGATTCAACTTATCTGTCTGGCTTATTAGAAGGCGCAGAAGCGACTGGTCTGCAGCCAGAGCTAGTTGACCGGGATGAACACTACTGAAAATTTACACGTCTGAGATCATATTTGCAAGTAAGTACATATTTTTACAGAATATCCAAGGAATCATTGCAGATAACTAGCTTGAATTCCAGAGCCCAGCAGCAATCCACGCAGCTGACTCTCAGGGCAAAGCCAGCTATGTATTTTGACATTAAAAACTGTCTCACTTTTCATTCTAAAATTCTTACCCATCAATTGCAAGCCTACATTGTACCTGCCGTCAGTTAGCTCATTGCTAGTGTCCCGTGGATAAACAGTGAGATCTTTTTTCATCTCAGAATGTAGAAAGTACTATAGGAAAAGGCAGGCTTGATGACAACACGTGCGATCTGAAAAAGCACATGGTTTGTTCATTTTCCAGCGAGGCACTGCACGTCCAGAGTCACACCTGGACTGAAATTCCTGGAGAGGGCTTCCCGTTCTTAAATGTTATTGTGGTGTTTGCGTCAGGGGCGCAGAGCAAGAAGAAAGGCTAAGTGCCGTACAGCATCTTCGGGCCAGTTCATGTAGACCACAATAAGTGCGAACACCTAAGTACACACATACACAGAATCGTCGGGGAGGTACCGCGCTTTGGTGACATGCTGCCATCCAACAGAATTTACTGTTCATCTATTATATATAAGCCACCGTGCTAGGCTTCTGGACACCACCATGACCCCAGGGAAGAGCCCCGTCCTAACGCAGCCCTAACTCTCTTGGCCCAGAGGAAGCAGACTGAAAAAAAATGCCAATAAAGTAGAGGCTGCGGGAAGGGGTGGCAGGACCCCGGACACTGTGGACTTGGCAGAAGGCTCACTAACGAACTGGCATGCTTTAGGGAACATGCCAAGGACACGGGAGGACAAACTGTTCACAGAATTTAAGGCAAAAGAGCTCCGAGGCGAGCAAAGGTCACAAACAGCCCAGAAGCAAAGCCAGCGGCGGGGCTGGGATGCAGGCCAGTGGGGCACATGCTGTCGTGTTCCCTGAATGAGAAGCCAGAGCAGTGACCTCCGACTGAGGGGCCAAAGGAAGCACACCGTCTTTCTCGGAAGTAGCACTTCTGTGTTTGTGCGGAATATGTGCCTGTTTGTGTGCTTGTGCCTGAGGATGCAAGTACGTGTGTCTCCTGGGGCGTGGGTGCACACAGAGGGTGTGTACAAAGGGAGCGTGGGTCTCCTGGGGCATGTGTGCACTTGCGGCTTGCTGGTTTCGGCTAGGCCGCCAGTGAGCAAGCCCAGGGACCCTGCTGCCTCTGCCTGTCCAGGGCTTACAGAGACACGCCACACTCAGCTCGGCTTGCACGCAGGTGGTGCTGGAGATCCGGACTGAGTCCTCCCGAGTTGTGGTGCCCACTCTAAGCACTCTGGCCTGGCCTGCCAACTCATTCTTATTTAGAAAGGTAACAGCTAAGCCTCCAAAATTTGTTTTTATGATTTTCCCAATCGCCCTGAGAATATTTTCAGCCAACACGCCTGTGTCACACGGGGCTTCGCTGAGCAACGCTGTCCTGTCATACTGAACATTCCCACCCCAGGCGCTCCATCTAGAAGACTTGATTCTCCAGATTTTTAATCTTAAAACAAAAACAAACAAACAAACAAACAAAAAAAACCCCTACATTTTGACTGTAACTCATCCCATGAAGTCAGACGCAGAATTTTCTATTGGTGGGATTATGTCAGTGATTAAAAAGTTTTGCACTTTGGAGGTCTAGATAAGGGATGACCAACCCTTAAAATGAAGAGAAGTAGCTCCACAGGGATTGGACTCATCATTTGTTGAGCTGGTATTTTCTGCTTCTGGAAGCTGTGTCCTGTTCTGGGGACTTTTAACCTTAAAACGCTTCAAGGTGAACATGCCGGCGTGCTGGGAGCTGTGTACACCTCAGCCGTTTTCACCTGCTGCCGAGGGGCTGAAGCCAGCAAGTCATAAATAACTCAGGGAAGGCAGGGGAGGAGAGCAGGTGTGCAGACTGGGCCGCTCACTCCTCCGCCTGCAGGTGCCTTTACATTCTTTACAGTTTGGTAACTCTAAACACATTTAACATTGCATTCAAATCACCTGCCAGGCCACAGTTCTCAAAGTGGACCGATAACCAGAGGCAGCATGCTGCCTGCTCCCACACCTGAAGGAGGGGCACCAGACACGTGTGGAAGAATCTGGATAATGCTCACCAGCCTCACGGCTTCTTCCTTGACGTCTGTGCTAAATGTAATGTCATTCCTGATCCTAGGGCCCAGCGCAGTCCTGGAAAACCCAAGGTACCATGGTATCGTCAGCATTAGGGCTTTGGATGGAGTTTTTACTCTGAGGTAGTCATGGGCATTGAGCCTTGGCAGCTCAGGAGCATCTATTTCTCCAACTTAAAGAAACTTAGAAAAGTGATGATATTTAGCATTAGCTGTTCAACTAGAGAAGGCTAGATTAACAAAAGGAATTATAGAAGACCTGAGAAGTTAGATTCTCATCTCGAAGCTCTTCTTTTATGTTGCTTCCTCTTTCACTGGGTATTTTTAGTGGTAACATTAAAACAAACTAATACATACCTTGACTTAAACAAAGAAATTAAAATTAACAACAACAAAAAACACCAAAAAAAAAAAAAAAAGATGTCCTGAGGGCAAACACCAATTATGTCATCCAGGTCAAAACTATCGCTATAGCTTCCTAGTGAGGAAGCCTAAGTGAGAAGCTACCCTCAGCCCTCACAGGCTGGGAGGCTTTAGCTGACTCACTAGTTAGGGGTCCCTCAGGACGCTTCTGAGTGTGTTTGTGATGTCACAGGTTTTATGTGCATGATGTCAGGTCAGTGAGGTGTCTGGGGGTGTGTGGTCTCCCCGGAATCATTGGGGGATGCTTATACCTCAGGCTTTCAGGAGCCAGCTTTAACAGCCTCTGTTTTTTATAGGGAACACTTCCACTGGTGAAGACTAAGAAGGCAAATTCAGATCTCCTTTCCTTGTTCAATAAAAGGAAAAAGGCTAATACACAAATGGACTTAAATTACTACAGTTGAAAGCAACTGTGATTGGTCCATCCGCTGTGTGTCAGTCTACTCCGGTAACTGCAGCAGCGTGGCGTATTACCTGGTGTGCTCGTCCCATTGCTCAAGTTTTTCTTCTGTGGGGCTAAAAATAGGTTTTGCTGCTTTTAGTATAAAGACAGAGTTTCTTTTTTAAAGATGCATAAATATTAATATTGGTTTGAGGACATATTTGCACGAGTGATAGGCTTGATTTGTAAGTCTGTAAGAGATAATTTTTGTGTATATGTCTGATGCAGATGCTGTACGTGTGTGTGTGTGTGGTGTGTGCATGGGTTCAGGAGACGCCCTGGAGGCCGTTGTTCTCTCACGACCTGGAACCAGCCACCCGCTCTGTGCTGGCCAAAGGCACCTTCCTGTTCCCACTTCGCAAGTACAGTTTAGGATGACAAATGCCTCCTACCACCCCTGACTGTTTTTCTTTTCCTAGGAGTTCTAGGCATAAACTTGGGCCCTCACAAGGTCTTTACAAACCGAGCTGTTTTCCTGTTTTGAACATAATTTTTGACATGTGATTTAACCACTTTAAATGCCCAGTCTCCCCGGTAGCTGAGGACGGGGTCGAGTCCCTTCCCCACAGGCTACCCGGTGGTTTCTCAGACAGGATGTCAAGAGCATCCGAGAGACTGTTAAAACCGGGTAAGCACACTGCAGTTTTTCACAGGCAGAAACGTCAAGCTGTGTATCTTAACCATCTCTATTATCAACAATGTCATTATGCCCTTAAGACTACCTGAGCCGATCTGGAATTCAAAGCAGCATAATTTCAGGCTTACGGCAACGGCAAACCTCAGAGAGCTCCGAGCTAAGGCATCCCACTTCTTCTGAGCATAGTTTTTCTTTGGATTCTGCCATTTCTTCAAACCCAAACTCTATCCAACCCAACATACAACTGGGGCAGGCTAGTCTCCACAAACACTTCTTGTCAGGCCTCCCATGGAAGCGTTCTGTCTTCTACACAGCACGCATCTTTCTTCCTGCACCACAGCTCTCTGCGCTGTGCCCTACTTCCCCTCCACATATGAACTCACCAAGTGGACATCTGAGTCATGCTGGTTCTTTCATGATGCTTCTCCAAGAAGCCAGCACTGAGTGTGCACTCAGTAATTTCTGCTAGCCACAAAACATCATAAGGGAAAATGAAAACCCTCTCAAGAAGCATTTTAGGAAGCTCTAGTCGAGAGCCACAAGAAGAGAAATTGAGATGCAAGTCAGGGTGACTGGCACACAAAAGTGACAGTTTGGCTTCTCCACATTTATGTGTCCCAGAGAAGATCAAGTGTTAAAACACTGACTGCCATCGTCACTAGGCTGACCCTGATTTGAAGCTCTTGGTTACCTGAAGGTCAAGCCAGACCAGACACACACCACTAGGCTTTTTAAATTTAAACACAGACATGTATAAAAAAATTATGCATGCCTGGTATAAATAAGTTTGAGTGAAAACAACACAACAAAAGACAAACCTCCCAGGAGCTATCATAAAGAAGGCAAGACCAATGTGAATGGCAAATTCTGCAGAGCTCAGGGCAAAGTGCTCACTTTGCAAGCCCAGCTTCGCCTGGAGGTGACATGTGAAATGGTTGCCTTACCTTGAGGGAATCAAAGCAGGCAATTACTCTTCCATTTTCAACCTGGCAGCTTTTTGGGGGGTGAGCAAATTTGCATTCTTCGTCAGAGCGTGAGCACGTTCCTCTCTGATACTGTCTGCAGACTTCCAGCGTCAGCCACTTTGTGTCTCTCACGGGGGCAACGTTCAAGGCCATGATGAGAGCTACTTTGGACTCTGTTCCTTTCTGTTAAATGATGAAATCAGTCCTAGTCTCAATGACCTCAAAACTGCTGTTGTGAAAACTCCCACATGTAAGTCTGAAGGTAAGTAATGGATTCCTTAACGCAGTCCAGTCCAGGGAGTGGGGATAAGAGACCGTACAGCAGCAGTCAGTCACTGATCCACAGGCCCCACTGGAAGACTGTGAGCCACAAGCCACGCCTGCTCACTGTCATCTCTGGCTCCCAGGGTCCTAGTCTCTGGATTGTTTTGCAGATACACGTCTCTGTAATAAAGTGACTTCAATACGATGGCACTCTTTGGGAAAATATTACTTCTGATGCTCGCAGCTTTGGAGGATGTTGAAAAACAAGCCTCTTAGATCTTTGTATTTGAGTGAGATGATGTTTTTCTTCCTTCGTCCGTTTTAAGTTCTGAAATTAAATGATTAGCAAAGTCACTCAAAGGGTCAGGGTAAAGTGAGTTCAACAAAACCAATTAGCCAGGCAACCAAGCAACCAAGCAGCCAGCTAGCCAACCAAGCAACTAAGCAACCAAGCGACCAGCCAACCAGCCAACCAACCACCCAACCAGCCAGCCAGCCAGCCAGCCAGCCAAACAACCAGCCGGCCAGCTGGCCAGCCAGCCAACCAACCCAGTCAGCCAGCCAACCAACCAACCAGCCAGCCAGCTAACCAGCCAGCCAGGTAGCCAACCAACCAACCAAGCAATCAATGAACCAGCCAGCCAACCAGCCAGCCAGCCAGCCAACCAACCAACCAACCAACCAACCAACCAACCAACCAACCAACCAACCAACCAACCAACCAAAAAACCACAAGGGGTAAACACAGAGAGAGCTCCCTGCAAGCTGATGCTGCAAAAGTGTGACAGTACAAGGTCATTTTAAACCATGAACGTGCAAAGCCTAACACAACATCATCTTACATCGAAGCTGAGAGGAATCAAACACTTGAGCTACCTACAAAGCTCAGATCTAGAATTTATGAAGGTATAGCTTAGACCTCTAACTTTCAGTATCAAGAGGAACAACTGAAACTGTATGGCAGAGTGATCTAGGCAACAGTCCAAGAGGCAGGAGTGACTCAAACAGATGAGTGTGGCAGACACTATAATTAGAGCCTATGAAACAATTCCATCTGAAGTGCTTAATCACCAAACAGCATATTAGAATCGTGGTTCCCAATTAATTTCACATTTAGGTCATTGATTGTGTTGCTCGGAAGGCTATAAACAACTGTAGGGTGTCTCTACTACGAAATGGACAGAATATTATTTTGGATGGAGCAGGTTCCCTACCCCTTGAGTGCTTTGAGTTTACAGAGACTTGATGCTGGGGCAGCTAGACCAGGCCTCCAGATATCTGCTCTGGATACTTCCTTGCTTCTGCTGCTTGCTTGGTGCCTCCTTCCCTGCAGCGTGCTATGAGGTCAGGGCATTCTTTGTAGTTTCTGTTTCCCACATGCCTTTGGACCCCCAGAAGTGCTGGCTGACCAACTGGACCTAGGATGTGATCAATGACCGTGAGCTTCAGTCGGGCTCTGCTTAGTTTGAGATGTAAGTTGACACCTTTCTCCAGCCTGGAGAGGTGAGTAAACACATCTGCTGCCATGGCCTCCGGGGCCCACACTGTGTGAGGGGAGAACTGACTTCTGGGACTTGTTCTCTGACCGCCACACCCCTCACACACAATAAAGTTTAAAATGTAATAAATTTTTAAAAAGTTCTCTTGTATGTAGAATGTGAGGATTAAAAGTCACGCCTACAATAATACTGTAAGTTTAAGTTCAGATGTCTAAGATCAGCACTTGTTTTAATTTTTCAAGGATTATGAAACAGCACAAAAATTGAACATGATCAAGAGACACACAAATAAAAAACTACAGTCTGTAAATTGACGATTTGCAGAAATTGTATGTAACACAAGCCTTGATAACCTGCTAAATTTATACCAAGGGCTCTTCATCAAGATTGGAAAAAGAGTAGCCATACTAAACCCTTAAGGAAGTTTCTCTCAATGGCACTCCACTCATAAGGCACTGCCAGAAAGTCAGAATGGGGCTTAGAGGTTCCTGTGGCCAGATAAGGCCTTGGTCACTATTAACTTGCAAATACAGCTTTGTACTATGATATGTTTCTCATGGGGTTGCGTGACCTAGGGCGGTGCTTGTCAGCACAGAAGTACGACATTAACGCGTGATGGTAAGGAGTCAGTTTGTCACTGTGTTTCGTATTTACGGTATCTCACATCACTCTGGAATGCACGCTTTGTGCTTACTACAGCGTGTTCATTGTACATAGCGGACCATGTTTCATAAGTGGCGCTTGTGTTTAACATGACTCTTGATTTCGTCAAAAGGTCACATCAAATGACGGAGCTACATCATCTAGGCTTGCAAGAAGACCTCTGTGGCGCTTGAGATCACACAGTGATGCCCGTGTGTCAGAATAGTGTGTGCTAAGTAAGCTCAGAGGGCAGTCATTGTGAAGTGGTTCACAAGTGTGCCCAGAAAAAGCGAGTCCCCGAATTGATGAAAATTAGTTAACTTTGGGCAAACCAAGCCAAACAGACATTCTTGCAGTTGGGCGTTTCCATCTTGCAGAAAGCTGCTATGTCCCTCACAGGGGAGGGGCCCCAGTGGTGTCCCGTAAGTTTATCTGGTCCTTGACCTTGATTTAGCAAGACTCATGGGATGGTGTGACCTGCTTTTTCACCCCCATCATTCTCCTCTTTGTGAAAGTGCTGGTGTAGGTTATGTTATATATGTATGTGCATTTAAGGAAATGGGCAACGATGAAAGCTGTGAAACACAGGTAACTTCAATTATAAAATATCTGAGGGAGCCAGGCAGGCTCCTGCTTGTTCAACAACATCTCGTAGCTTAGGCTAGGGAGGTTAAGAAGAGGAGCTTAAGAACAAATTCGCTCCGTATTACGCTTCACCAACCGGCCTGGACCTGCAGCTTCATTAGCTGCACTCCACCTCCAAACCCGGTGGAGAACACAGGATGGGGACAGCAAGAGCCAGAAAAGTTTCTGCTCACCGGCGGAGCTGGGGCATCAGTGATAAAGGGGCCACAGATGACGTTCTGGACACATTTAGCCCATACCCAGGAAACATTATATAAAGTCCTCAAGTCCTACACTGGTTTCAGGGCAAAAGGGATGAGGTACGCGCTGTCCTCAAAGGCAGGAGTGTTCCTACAGGCTTCACAGGCGGGACAAAGGCAAAAAGACAGGCATTGTTGCACGGACAGCAAGAATAAAGACTCGACGGTCTGTACTCAGCAAAGCCACACGATGCTTTCAGTCGGGAGAAAGGGTTCCCACTTACTTCATAAAAGAGCAACCAGAACTTGGGTCTACACCCATGACAAACTGCCTCTGAAAATATATATTTTCACTGGCCAAGGAAACCGTCTACTTCTGGAGCATAACGATGCCCTGAAGCAGGCAGGCACGGAAGGTGACCGCTACACGTCACTTCACCCGTCTCTCTGCTTTCGTGGCGAGGACACAGCGCCTACTGGCAGCCAGTTTCGAGAACAACATGTCTTGTTTTTAACTGTGGCCGCTGCATCCTTGAACTTTCCACCGCTATCAAGCTGAAGTTTTAAATCTTTTGATCAACTTTTCCCAATGTCCCATTTACAGTCCTTGGTTAACACAATTACTCTTTTGGCTTCTCAAAGTTCCTTTTGGCAGGGGAGAGGTTAAGATTCCACATATAAATCTTTTTTAAGATTCCATATGTAAATATTTAATATAAACTTGCTTTTAAGAACACAGTTGGTAAGCTTTTAGATGGCTTTTATGTCAAAGAAAGGGGCGTGTACACTCTAACAGGAACACACCGCTATTTTAAGTCTGTTATCATGAATCTGCGGCATGCTTTCTTCTACCCAGCATGCTCTCTGTTCCAATGCTAGAGGTTATGTAGCTAGTTATGAAAGGTGCCGCCTCCTTGCATTGTCACAAGTGGATACAAGCAATGAGCTATGCAACAAAATGAGCAATGATGGCATGAGATGATGAAGACCAAGTTTTAACTTGTCGCCAAGGGACCAGGCTGGCTTCCCCACACAGAGACCTAACTCAATACTGCATCTGCTAGGCTGCTCACTGTTGAAGAACAGTACATGCTGGGCTATGCTGTCCACCGTCCCCTCCATGTGGCTCTGGGATTAGTGTGACGGAGTGACTACATTTTTAAGTCTTTATCCTTCTGCTTAAGTTCAATTTCAAATTGCCCCTCAAATCAGCTACTGGAAACTGTTCAAGTATGACTGGACCAAAGGAGCCCCCTTTTCAATTTGTAGACTTTATGAAATCTAAATACATATTTTGCACGCACAATGAAAATTTAGCATGCAAGCTGAGATGTACTTTGGTGTCAAATATATACCGAGTACAAAGAAGGCGTGGAAAGGAAAATGTGTAAAGATGCACTAATTTGGCTTCATGTTCATTACACGGCAAATCGATACTTTTACACGCCAGTGTTCCTGATCTTCTATTCCTAGTAAGTCAACAGCTTTCTTCAGTCTCTCCTACATTTGTATGATGGCTGCCACAGGACTGGTTACAGGAGAAATAGAGAGGCACACTGTGAACAGTAAGGTAGCCTAACGCGCAGTGGTAAAAAGAGCCCCTCCACAAGTAGTCATTGCTGAAACCCACTTTCAAGTCTCTCCCTCCCCACGGCTGTATGTAGAAGCCATGACTGCATCTGGGGGATCATCTGCCTCAGCACTGATGTTAGGAGCAAGACGCTATCTCGTAGACGATACATGACTGCACAGGGCACAGGGGTCTGTACCCGGGCCAGCCCTCACACCTGGTCATTTACTTTTAAGCAGGTATAAATACTGACGTATCTGCCCCACCCCGCTGACACTGCTTATGGATTTCACTGCACATATAATACATCCTGGCTGTTATTGTGAACCCCTTGAACTCTGCTGGGCACGTGGTCATAGAAAATGCCCTATAAATGTTTGCAGAATGAACTCCTCCTGGAGTGAGCATCCTCATTTTAACACAGATCAAACTCAAGGCTACAGGAATAAGGGTTCTGATGGGGCCATTTGGCTGTGACCTGGAGGAACATTCCAGCAGGTGACCCGATTCACTCTGCTGTTGTCAAGTAGACTTTGGGAAGGCGGAGGCCCCAGTGATGGGCATCTCCACCTCACTGCCTGTCTCCTCGGCCCAGCGAGTCTCAAAGAACACAACCTGAGCCCACAGCACTGCCACCCTCTGAAGCTTGGGAAGAAAGGTAGACTCCTGGGTCCCCCTCATGCAGTGGACGCTCAGGGCAGGCCAGCAATCCGTGTTCAGTGAACCCTCTGGAGTGACCAGTGTGCAAACCCGAGAGCTATCCTGACCAGCATTCCCTGCTGCCTTGCTCTAT